GTTCTTCGATTGTGTGGAAGACAACTTCCTTCTGCAAGTAATAGAGGAGCCGACAAGGAGAGGTGCCATGCTTGACCTCGTGTTCACCAACAGGGAAGGGCTCATTGGAAATGTGACGCTCCAGGGCAGCCTTGGATGCAGCGATCATGAGATGGTCGAATTCGAGATCCTCAGGACAGTGAGAGGAGCGTGCAGCAAGCTCACTGTGCTGGACTTAAACAGAGCAGACTTTGGCCTCCTTAGGAACCTGCTTAGTAAGGTTCCATGTGATATAGCCCTAGAGGGCAGAGGGGCCCAAGACTCTTGGTTGATATTCAAGGATCACCTGTTACAAGCTCAGGAGTGTTGCATCCCAACTAAAAAGAAGTGCAGCAGGAGGGCCAGGAGACCTCCTTGGGTGGATAAGGAGCTGCTGAGGAAAATTCAAAGAAAAAAGAGGCTTATAAAAAGTGGAAGCAAGGACAGGGATGTTGTCCGGGAAGCTAGGGACCAGGTTAGGAAAGCTAAGGCCCAGTTAGAATTAAACTTGGCTAGGGGTATTAAGGATAACAGGAAGGGATTCTACAGGTACATAACAAATAAAAAACAGACTAGGGAGAACATAGGCCCCCTCAGGAAGCTCTCAGGAGAACTGGCTACACAGGATTTGGAGAAGACTGAGGTTCTGAATGATTTCTTTGCCTCGGTCTTCACTGGCAAAGGCTCTGACCACACCACCCAAGTCTTGGAAGGCAGATGCAGGGACTGTGAGGATGAAGACCTTGGGTACACTGTAAGAGAGTATCTGGTTCGAGACCATCTTAAAAATCTGAACGTGCACAAGTCCATGGGTCCTGATGAAATCCATCCGCGGGTCCTGAAGGAGCTGGCGAATGAAGTTGCTAAGCCACTGGCCATCATATTTGAGAAATCATGGCAGTCAAGTGAAGTTCCCAATGACTGGAAAAAGGGAAATATAGCCCCCATTTTCAAGAAGGAGAAAATGGATGACCCGCAGAATTACAGAGCAGTCAGTCTCACCTCCGTGCCTGGCAGAATCTTGGAGCAGATTCTCCTGGATGGCATGCTAAGGCACATGAAAATCAACAAGGTGCTTGGTGACAGCCAGCATGGCTTCACTAAGGGGAAATTCTGCCTGACCAACTTGGTGGCTTTCTATGATGGGGCTACAGAACTCAGGGACAGAGCAGTTGATGTCATCTACCTGGACTTGTGTAAAGCGTTCAACACTGTCCCACACAACATCCTTGTCTCTAAACTGGAGAGACATCAATTTGATGGATGGACCACTCGGTGGATAAAGAACTGGCTGGATGGCCGCACACAAAGAGTTGTGGTCAATGGCTCAGTGTCCAGCTCGAGACCAGTAATGAGTGGTGTCCCTCAGGGATTGGTGTTGAGACCGACCTTCTTCAATATCTTTGTCGGTGACATGAACAGTGGGACTGAGTGCGCCCTCAGCAAGTTTGCCGATGACACCAAGCTGTGTGGTTCAGTTGATAAGCTGGAGGGAAGGAATGCCATCCAAACGGTCCTCAACATGCTTGTGAGGTGGGCTGATGCCAACCTTATGAAGTTTAACCATAACAACTGCAAAGTCCTACACCTGGGTCGGAGCAATCAGAGGCACAGCTACAGGCTGGGCAAAGAAGAGATTCAGAGCAGCCCTGCAGAGAAGGACTTGGGGGTGTTGGTTGATGAGAAAATGAACATGAGCTGGCTTCAGTGTGTGCTTGCAGCCCAGAAAGCCAACCGTATCCTGGGCTGCATCAAAAGGAGCGTGACCAGCAGGTCAAAGGAGGTGATCCTGCCCCTTTCCTCTGCTCTTGTGAGACCTCACCTGGAGTATTGTTTACAGTTCTGGTGTCCTCAACATAAAAAGGACAGGGAACTGTTGAAACAAATCCAGAGAAGGGCCACGAGGGTGATCAGGAGACTGGAGCACCTCCTGTATGAAGACAGGCTGAGAAAGTTGGGGCTGTTGAGCCTGGAGAAGAGAAGGCTGTGTGGAGACCTCATAGCAGCCTTCCAGTATCTGAAGGGGGGCCTATAGGGATGCTGGGGAGGGACTCTTCATTAGAGACTGTAGTGATAGGACAAGGGGTAACGGGTTAAAACTCAAACAGGGGAAGTTTAGATTGGATATAAGGAGGAAATTCTTTCCTGTTAGGGTGGTGAGGCACTGGAATAGGTTGCCCAGGGAGGCTGTGAATGCTCCATCCCTGGCAGTGTTCAAGACCAGGTTGGACAAGGCCTTGGGTGATACGGTTTAGTGTGAGGTGTCCCTGCGCATGGCAGGGGGGTTGGAACTTGATGATCTTAAGGTCCTTTCCAACCCTAACTATTCTGATTCTATGATTCTATCCGTGTCTCCTGGCGCCGCAATAAAGAATACCTGCTTGTCAGCTTGAAAACTTTGTTGGCAAGTCTGTTCCTGGAGTTTTCTCTAAATCAAACTGAAGCAAAGAAGCAGAACCTGCCCAGGCTGAGCCAGGTGCCGGTCATGGGCCCAGGGGAACAGCATGCCTGCCTCACAGCACAGCCAGCCTCTGGCCAGAACAATTGCACAAGTCCTGATGGCATCCTGGCTTCCTGTGCAGCTGGCTTCAAGTCAGGCACTCCTCAAGAAATGCAGATTCCAAAATTAAACTGGAGAAACTGGATCCAATTTATCTTACACTTTCAGACAGGCAGAGTCCTGCAGGTAGGGTGTGCTGCCTCTGCATGCTGCCAGGCCTGCAGCCACTGGCACAGAGGAGCAGGTGAAAGCAGAACTGCAAAGAGCACTTCAGCACCACCCTGCAGACAGCAAGAGGCCTGGAGATGGCTTGACATTACATCCAACACAAAGGAAGCCACCAGATCAAGCCTCAGACATGACTAGTTAACAGCCGCAGCAATGGCTCAAGGCTCCCAATGGCCAGACATAAACAGTGTGACTCCAGAGATCATCATTCTACAAGACGCATCTGCTAAGTCACTTGACAGAGCCTCTGCACCCATGTCTGGCAACACACTCATGCTTAGCAGCACTCACCACCACTGCGACTTTGCTCTCCATGCCATGGGGCATCTGCTGGGCTCTCAGAAGCCTTTACCCAAACCTGTAACTACTGTTGTAGAAGCACAACTCAGAGCAGTGAATTACTGTTCCAGCAGCAGTGTCTGCTGCTGGAAGAAGGAGTTAGCACACAAGGAATTCGGTGCAGTCAGACTGGTATCACCCACAACTACTTTTGCAGATGCTCCATCTGACATGGTAACCCCTACAGTGATAGGCAGGACAGTGACAGCACCAGTCCCTTCAGCCCAAGGTGAGGACACTACATAAACAGGACAATATGGAAGCTGAGATTTTTCCCAGTACCATCCAGCATAGACATGATGAGCCATGAATTCAGGAGACAAGTCAGAACAAATCAAACCCCTGTCCTTTTCAGTACTACGGTATCACACGAGAACTCAGAGGAAGGGAAGTAAGAATCACTGCATCTCTTACCATTACACATCCCTTTTATTCAGAAACTGGTAGCTGAAAGCCAACAACATGGTCACTCCTCAGGGCCCTCATTTCTTGTGGTTTTGCTCCCCTGCAAGAGGCAGTGTCCAACTCACCAAGCAGGTGGCTCGAGCAGCTGCCCACTTCCACTGCAGAGGCTGGAATGACATTTCATTTGCTTCATGAGCAATGCTCATCAAGACCTGGCTGAAGTTTAGCGTAAACACATACCTTTCCGGTGCTCTACCAGAAGCCTCCTGGGAGGAATCCAACAGCTACAGGAGCTGGGATAGTGGGGCTACAAATTGGAGACAAGGCTTAGTACAAAACACCTCAGCACTCCAAACATTTCTTTCCCAATAACAGTGTTCAAACCCTCAGAGAAAACATCCCTGTTTCATCTAGCCAGCAGTTAGTTTGCCCCAGACACATTTCCACAGCAAGTTTCATGCTCAAGATGCACAGCCATTCTTCTCAGGGTAGGAAGACACTTAATCCCAACAATCCAGTACCTTTGGAACAAAGCAGACACTGCTGGGGCAGGGAAGCAGGACTGAAGGCCTGGCTTTGCTCTGGCACCCTGTCGAGAAGCTCAGTAATTTGCAAACACCCAGGTGGTACAAGTTCAAGTTTGCTGTTCAACCAGTTTACAACTTCAGGCTATTTCCCCACATGCAGAACTTGCATCCTTGCTTTAACAAGCAGCAGCAGAATGTGGCTGCAGATAGCCAATCTTCACTGCAGTGGAGACAAACCCCAGAAGCCCAGACCTAGCAGCTTGAAGAGCCTCACAAAGGTAACCTGGCACTCACATCAGAAGAGCTTCAGACCTTCTCCCTCCTCAAATGGGGATGTTTTGGTGCTGGAAATGGGGCCTCACAGAATAATTTTTACACTGCCTGATCCCAGGGAGGTTCAAGACTTCACCTGAACATAGCCTACATCTAGGTAATAATTCAAGTCTAAGGCACTTTCAGAGGTGCCCACCTAAACGCTACCCCTGTCCCCAGAGCCACAGTCCAGCACCTCATCAAAGGGACCAAGGAGGGAAACTCCTGGTAAGTTCACAGATCTTGTCCAGTTCCGCACTTTGGTCATCAGCCCTTGTGCCAGGCACTGCATCCAGAATCTGTCTTCTCATACTGCCTGGGAGAACAGCACAAGGGGCACATCAGTCAACCAGCTTCGCACCTGGGGAGAGTAGGGATGGAGTGTGACAGGCACACATGAACTTCCTGAAGAGCCTCTGTTCTGGAGATAGCCAGTATTTGCCCTGCCCATCCCAGCATGCAGTCAGCTCTGCCTGGGACACCCCAAGCAGGGACAGTGACAGTGACAGGCACTTATAGCTGATGTATGTAAAGCAGTGTTGTGCTAGGCACTATGAGGCTTGAATAACAGATCTGTTTCACCCAACAAAGGAGAAACTGGGACAGCGATAGGCTTCATAGGGCTTTGCTCACAGGGTATCATACCTCACTGCTCCCCACACTCACCCCACCTAGGGCTCCCCACCCCTGTAGGTCTGCTGGTGCTGGTAGAGTGCCGAGCTCACACTGAAGCCCTTCCCATAGTCGGCAGAGACGTAGGGACCCTGTCAGTTTGGATGCCCTGGTGCCGGATGAGGTGGGAATTCTGCTGAAAGCTGTTCCCACAGCAGGTGCAGATGTAGGGCCTCTCTCCGGTGTAGAAACGTTGGTGTTTCTTGAGCGTAGGGCTGCAGATGAAGCTTTTCCCACAATCTGTACACTCGTAGGGTTTCTCCCCAATGTGCATCCGCTGATGCCGGGCGAGCTTTGAGTTAACAGAGAAGCTCATCCTGCACTCAGCACACTTGTAAGGCCTCTCACGGGTGTGGACCCACTGGTGTTGTTTCAAGCCTGAGCTCACGCTGAAGTTCTTCCCGCAGGTCCTGCACTTCTAGGGTTTCTCCCCGGTGTGGACCCGCTGGTGTAGTATTAGGGATGAGTTCACACTGAAGCGCTTCCCGCAGGTCCTGCACTTGTAGGGTTTCACCCCAGTGTGGACCCGTTGGTGTTGTGTCAGGGCTGAGTTCATGCTGAAGCTCTTCCTGCAGGTCCTGCACTCGTAGGGTTTCACCCCAGTGTGGACCCGTTGGTGTTGTGTCAGGGCTGAGTTCATGCTGAAGCTCTTCCTGCAGGTCCTGCACTCGTAGGGTTTCTCAGCGGTGTGCACACGCTGGTTCCAGACAAGCTGCGAGCTCCCGTAGAAGCTCTTCCCGCAGTTGGCACACTTGTAGGGCTTCTCCCAAGTGTGGATTACCTGGTGCTGGATCAGCTTCGAGCTCTCCCTGAAGCCCTGCCCACACTCCATACACTCGTAGCGTTTCTCCCCAGTGTGCATCCATTGGTGCAGGACAAGATGTGAGTTCCTGGTGAATCTCTTCTCACACTCAGAAGACTTGTAGGGCTTCTCCCCAGTGTGCATCCGCTGGTGTCGTGTCAGGGCTGCACTCACGCTGAAGCTCTTCCCGCAGGTCCTGCACTTGTAGGGTTTCTCCCTGGTGTGCAACCGCTGGTGTCGAGACATGGCTGAGCTCATGCTGAAGCTCATCCCGCACTTGGCACACTTGTAGGGCTTATCCCCAGTTTGCACACAGTGGTATCGTGTCAGGGCTTCGCTCACACTGAAGCTCTTCCCGCAGGTCCTGCACTGGTATAATTTCTCCCCGTTGTGCACCTGCTGGTGCTGGACAAGCTGCGAGCTCACGCAGAAGCTCTTCCCGCACGTGCCACACTTGTAAGGCTTCTCCCTCATGTGGATTACCTGGTGCTGGTTCAGCTTCAAGCTCACACTGAAGCTCTTTCTGCACTCAGAGCACTTGTAGGGCCACTCCCATGTGTGGATGCTCTGGTGGTGAATGTGATCAGTGCTTGAAACGCTTCCCACATTTGGTGCAGGTGAAGGGTTTTTCTCCAGTGTGGATTCGCCGATGCTGGATGAAGTTGGAGCTCACCTGGAAGCCCTTGGATCTCTGAATCCTTTCTGACCTGCGTGGGAGAACAGGGTCCTGTGCACGACCCTGGGAACTGTTCTCCTCAGAGAGTCTTGAGCAGAAACCCTTGGCCTCCGCTAGCCTGGGTATGCCTTGATGGGCATTGTCTTCATTCGTGCTCACAATCCCATCTTCAGCTGCAATAAAATGAGAATCCAGACAAGTCACAGGCAGGACTGGAAGCTTTGAACAGGGCAAATCGCAAGGGGCCAAATCCTAAAAATTCAGCAAATAGATTGACTTTAAGTATAAAACATTCTGCTATATCCTGCGTTCAGGACATGGTAATTATCTCCAAACTACACAGTGGATTTTTCAGAGTGTTCACAGGAGCAAATGCCATAAATTGCCCTGCATGCTTCACCGGAACCTGAATCTACTGCAATCACTGGCATACTAGAGGCAAAAGTTTACTGCTTGAATGGGAAAGATGCTTGCTCTTCCAGGATGGTGTACCTGAAAATCATAGAACCACAGGATGGTTTTAGCTGGAATGGACCTTACAGATCCCATCCAGTTCCAGCCTCCTGACTTGTGCAGGGACACCTTGCACTAGACCACGTTGCTGCAAGCCCCATCCAACCTGGTCTTGAACACTGCCAGGGATGGGGCACCACAGCTCCTCTGCGCAACCTGTGCCACAGCCTCAGCACCCTCACAGGGAAGAAATTCCTTCACCTTATCTAAATCTCCCCTCTGTCAGTTTAAAGCCATTCCGCCCTCTCCTGTCCCTACTTGCTCTTGACAAAAGCCCCTCTCTCCATTTCTTGTTGGGCCCTTTGGGTGCTGGAAGCTGCTCTGAGATCTCCCCAGAGCCTTCTCTTGGCCAGGCTGAACAAGCCCAGCTCTCTCTGCTTGTCTCCACAGGATGTTACTAAAAGTTGAACTGGGAGTCAGAGGAAGGCCATAAACAACTGCGTTGTTCAGCAGAATGTTACTTCAGTTGCAACAGTAATCTCCGTGCTCTCTTGCTGCCGGTACTGCAGAGGAAGAGAAGACGCACAAGGTATGAGACACGGACACCACCTGGAGCCTGGCTTTTGCCAGTCTTAGAGCTGAATTTAACATTATGCTTTCACTGGTGCAGAACAAATCTGTTGTGCGTGCTAGGTGGTGGGTGAACTGAAGATCCCCCATGGCTGGTTCCAAATTATGCACTGAGGAAATCAAATACATGTAGAAGATGAAGGTAGGTGCAAGTCAAATTAACGGTAGCTGAATAGTTACGACTGGCTCCTGGGACACAGGCAAGGAACAGATCCGTGCCCTCTCATGTACATGAAGTCTTGCAGAAGAGTTACTGGTATGACTGTTCACTGCACAGACCCAAGGTCACCTGAAAGCCTGCTCAAGACAAGGGGCTTGTGCTGATTCCTTGTGCTGATAGACCTTGAAATTATTGTCACGGCTCTAGCACTTCTACAATCATTTCTGTTACTTCTGAGCTACTAGGTACCTTCACTGGCATCTAGGACACGCTGTCTGTAAAGGCTTTGATCAAAACCAAGACAGGAACTCACTGGAAGTATTTCAAGTGGAAGGAGAGCAAGGTCACAATGATGAGGATTTAATACTAGAAGCATATGGCTATACTGGCAAAAATGAATAAGCAAAAGAAACATGAAGAATGTGGATCTTCCTCAGCCCATGCCAATTAGGGTTGATGGCAGGACCTCTGATATGCCCAAGAGTGCCAGTGCTATAGCTACAAGGCAAGCTCCAGGTAAGCAGAGTAAGCTGCTGGACTTCTGACTGTGGTACCTCACTGCTGGGACTAGAGGTGGCTGTTGTGATGCCACAGAAAGGGCTGGAGGGGAGATCTGGAGCCCAACATTCCAAACAGAAATCTGAGTATAAGAATTAATGGACAGATGGCGAGAGGACAGACTGGGGAAGACCTGGCACGGCCTTTGGAATGAGATGTCTCACTTCACAAACCACTCAGAGTTCTTCAGAGATGTCCCCAGCTTTATGTAAAGGGACATGTGGGGTCCAGAGGCATTCCCAAAAGACATTCATCCTTCGCCAAAACAGGTAAAGAACCTAAGCTGCTGTGGCATGAATGAACCTCACAGGGTGCTAAGGAAGGGAAAAGGAGGTGGAAACATTTGCTGATGATTTTGTGTTCCTCAGGGTTAAAGACATAAAGGCTGACTACAAACTGTGGCACAGCCTTGAGATACTGACCAACCAGGTAACAGGGGACATTCACGGCAGGTAAACAAAGACCTTCAGAGGAGAATAGCCTCTACATCTTGCATTTACACCAGGCTTGGACTAGGATGTTCTTGATATCATTCAGGAATAGCACCTTGGAGTCTGAGCAGCTGGATGAAAACTGAAGCTCCTACGCAAACAACACAGCCAGTCAAGCATCAATTAGCGCTGGGGGGGAAACAATAGAGAGGAAAAGAGAATGTAATTCTGACTTGCTTCTCAAACCCCACATTCTGACTGTGTGCAAGTGGGAGGATGGATCCCTCATGTCACAGACACTCTGACAGAGCTGAGGAAGACAGAGGCATGACAGGAACCATCAGAGGCACAGAGCAGCTTCTGTATAGGAGATGAGTCAACTGCCCATTCTGCTGGGAAAAGGTACAGCTGACAGGGGGTATCACAGAGGACTATAAAAACACAAGTGGCCTGTGGGGTGGTTTGGCATCTATCCTGCACCATCTGGTCTAAATTAAGAACTCCTGCCAACAGGAAAAGGCACTTTCAAAGCAAACTAAAGGAGGCTGCAATTCATCACCTAAATAAGCTGGGGAACTCCTTGCTGCAAGCTGCCACGGCTGCTACAATGTGCACAGCTTGAGAAGGCAAGAAGATAGATCTTGAGACATTATGGGCTTAGTTCAGGAGCTTCTGAAGCCACAGACGGCTCAGGCCTGTGAAAGGATACAGGGACACATCACTGCTTGTCTGCCCTTCTCTGGGTCTTGATAAAAGGCTGGGCCTGCTGCCTGCTGTATGAGGAAAGGCTGAGAGAGCTGGGCTTGCTCTGCCTAGAGAACAGAAGGCTCGGGGGAGACATGATCACCACAGTCCAGTATTTAAGGGTGCCTACGAAGAAGACGGGGGCTCCCTTTTCACAAGGAGTCACATGGAAAAGACGAGGGGTACAAGTTACTCCTGGGCAGATTCTGGTTGGACACAAGAGGAAAAGTTTTCCCAGTGAGAACAACCAGCCATTGCAATAATCTCCCCAGGGAAGTGGTGCACTCCCCAGTGTTGGACGCTTTAAAGACTCAGCTGGACAGGGCACTGGGACATCCAGTCCAGGTCATGCTTTGCCTGGAAAAGTTGTACTGGATGATCCTTGAGATCCCTCCCAGCCTGGTGCCCTGTGGCGCTATGAATACCGTCGCCACAGGCAGCAGGTGAAGCTGGACGGGCCCTGCTCCAACCCAGCACCTCCGCCCTTGTACATTCTGGGGGCGCTGGTGCTCCCGGAGCACTCTTTCTCATGACGGGTTCACACTTCGGCACAGTTGGATGTCCCAGTAATCACAAAACTAGCTGAAACCACCCATATCTGTGACTTCTCTGACAGCTGGCAAATATTTAGACCAGTGTGACCTTCGCACAAAATTTATTGCAGGATGGGCAGACAAGGAGTATCCCAAGCTCACAGATGTTCGGGAGGCACTGTCTCCAATCTAACTGGTAAGTAGAAGGATGGTGTGAAATCATTCATTCATGTTTAGTGGGGCCACTAAATCCTGTTATCTCTCCCCTGCCTTTCCCAGTCTGGTACATCTGCTCTATACTACGTGCCGAACAACATCTCTTTAACTTCTCTTTTCCTTCCTTCCTATTACCCTTCTCCAGTGCCAACACCATCGGGTCTTGTGGAGCCACCAGCCCACATTTTGTCTGCCATTCAGGATGATCCCGAAGGGTAAAGAACATATCAGCATTATGAAACTTCATCCCATTTTCCTTCTCATCTCAAAAATAACAATTGTAATAAGGTATTATAATTCCAAGTTCCATTGAAGAGCCACTTTTCCCCATCTTCCAACTTATATGAAGGCCATCACTGGTTACAATATTTGGTCAAGGTTTTCTTATTCACACTTCCTCCCAGTGGCCCCCCTGTATCTTTCCAATGAGCTAAAATGCAACCTAAAGGGCTCTTTTTGAGAATTCCCCCACTCTGCTGTCCTCCCATTGTAAGCCTTTAAAGATATACGACATGGTTAGCCCTACAACAGTAGTATCTTACCCAGAGTAAAAGGTATAAGGGCATGCTGCACCCACAAGCGATACACCCAAATTCCAAACACTTCTGTAAATAAACTGTTTGTCTCCCACCAAAAGAGAGAATTCATTTTGAACAAGCAGGACACTTAGCTTGGATATACAAACAACAGTGATGACAGATAGCCTAAGGGCTAGTTGGAGCCCTGCGCCAGGGAGCTTGATCACTACTCTGACAGTTAACCCCTATATTGCTCTACTGGTTCTTCAGTTCTCCCAGGTTTCCACAAACTACAAGTACTAATTCACCCGAACATTCAGTCCGGTCCCAATCGGACCAATTTACCAGGCAATTAACACACCAAAAATCCCGAGCAAATTTCACTGACACTTTATCCAAACAAACAAACTGTTCAAAGATGAAAACTGGATCACACACAATATCATGGTGGATAGGACACCAAAACTCAACAATAGGTTCAATTTCATGAGATATACACGCCATCTCTGGCCGCTCTTCTCGCAGAGAACATGGAATCGCAGATCAGGACTCCACGCTCTCTTCATAGCTATGCCACGTCTCACTTACACAAAACACTCATTCACACAAGGGCCTGTCTCTCAATCACCCACTTCACAGAATGTCGTCTAAGCCAGTAATTGCTAACACATAAATCTTAAGACAGTGTTTACCCACCAAAGGTTCGTGAAGCCATTAGTACAGTGAACCTTGTATTGATACCCTACCAAACCAA